TAAATAATCACACCTTCAAGCTCCTTGTTTTCATTTATAAGCACGTAGAACAGCTCGCCAACCAAGTAAGAAAGAATGCATAATACACACGTAATCACTACAAAAGAATATGGCTGTTTTTGTTCTAGCTTAACTGCAATTTTAATCTGCCATAAAATGCTTACACCTGCGGTACAGATCAGGCAGTGCCAGTGAAAGTAATATCCTCTACACATGCCTCACCATGGTAGTGCAAATGTGGGGTGCAAATCACGCAGGGAACATTTGCTACTGGAGGCTGGTCGCTACCGTTTTCACCACGCATGCGCACTACTTGCGTGCATAGAGAACATGTACATTTCCCAACACCAGGCAGCACTACTCCTCATGTCCTTGCACTCTAACCTGAATGCTTTCACCCAAGAGCCTAACTCAAAACTAACTAATATCAAGCCAGGAAATGGAATGAGACTGATTATATAGTGGTTCCTACATTAAACACTATAAAACAGTGATGTGTAGCGGCCTCAAGTTATTAGGTGCAAAAGTTATTAGGTGCCCCCCTCCCCCCTCCCATGTGTTAAATTCAGAAGACAAGAAGACACTGTGCACTAAAATTTGCAGAAAAGTGTCATGTACGTGTGTTAGTTGTAGTCAACGTGTTATTTTCACTTAGGAAAAACTACAAAACATATCATTTGACCAAAACATGTTCAAACTTTTTATAAGACTGTACATGAAATATCTCAGCATTGGCCTAGAATTCTCATATTGGTTCCTCATCAAAATAACCAAAGTAACCAAAAGTTCAAGGCCAGGGTGCCTGTAGGCCACCGTTTTCCCTTCTTTATCTTTTATATTTTTCTTTATTTTTGCTGAGAAACCCTTTGCTGATAGTGGTTTTATTGTGACCTTATTTTTCTTTTTAGATTTTATTTGTTTTTGTTTGGTTTAGGCCAGTTGCTAGCACTAGGAGAAGCACATTGTCATTACTTTTCTTCCTTAAATTCATGGTGTTTGATTTTTTGTAATCATTTGTTGGGCATAGTTTTTGCTTCTTATTTTTGTTTATAATGTATTTACATTTTTCATGTGTTTGTGGAAGTGTAAAGGGACATTGACCAGCTTTTAGCTTTGAGTATCCCTGTGCTGGGCCTGGACCTAGTTCCTTCATTTATTTTCTGGCAGTGGTTTAAATTCCACATTTCTATTGTTATTGATGAAAATCTGTCTCATGCAACTTTCTGTCAGACTCATTCATTTGTGGAGTGTGAAACAGAATCCCCTCCTCACAAAATTGGGGTAGCATAGTCTAAGATTGCTTTGGGGAACTACCCCAAGGGGGCTTACAAAAGTTCTGTCTATTTTTAGTAATGAATAAAGTAACTCAGTTAGTTTATGCAATATATTTCAACAGGACTGTACATGTACACCATATAAGGGCCATGCACACTTTTCTAAATTAACAAATGAAGAATGCAGTAGCTGTTCAGCAGTTCAAAAAATCTTTTTTCAGGAATAGTCACCAAAAAGTAAAATAGCTATGCTGAATATACTGATATACCAGTTTAATTCAATATCTTTAAAAGTTACTTTCCTCCTCATACTAACCCTGCAATGTATTTGAACAATAATAAAACTGTCAAACACGGTGTTGATCTGACAGATGTTCACTAAACTCAGTTACACTTTAACTGTCAGTGTGCAGTTTGGTAAGCAGGTTCAGTAGCACCACAGTATTCTTAATTAAACTGTTTAAAATCTTGTTCATCAACATTACACCGGGGATCCTTGTTGGTTTGTCATTTGTATTTCTATTTTTTCCTCGAGCTCTAATCTTCAATCGCCCTGTTCTTCTTCACAGAATGATTGAAGAGTAGTGCTCTATAATCATAGTTAAATTATTAAAACCTAAATAAGGCTTTAATTAATGTTTAGTATAATGATTTGTGAAAATTTCATAATTAGTACAACCCAAAGGCACCAATAAATCCTATAAAATCTTTTCTACGATATATAACAGCAGTAGTAACTGACCTCCTTCACTCTGAGTCTGATGATTTTCATCAGTAGAAATCTGAGTTTATGTCCATTATTCCATCACTGTCTCCTCATCTTCTCCACATGTTCCCTCCTCATCCTCTCCTCCAGATACAGCCCACTCCTCCCCCACATTCACCTCTCTAATATTAATAATATTAATCTTCAGAGTAGCGTGTCTGTGTCTGTCGTCTATCTTTGTAACTGACAGCTGATGATTTAAATTTCCCGCCTGATTTAGAGCGGAAACACGACACATTACCACCGCCACCTAGTGGAAAAACAAAGAACTGCAGCTGCAGAGCTCAAGTCTTTCTGTACTGCATCATGAAACAGGACTAAACTATTTGGCAAAAATATCTTGTTGATATTTTTCTCTGGCTGCGATTTAAACTCTGTTTTCTATAAACCCAGCTCTGTTATCTTCAGCCCAGAACTTCCTCTTTTTCTGGCTTAAGGCTTGAACGCTGATCACAGTGCTCCAGACTGCCAATTATACGTGGCTGTAATGTCACAGGGTGTTTTTGTTGTTTCTGATTGGTCTAACTCATCTACAGGCAGTTCACCAGCTCTGTGTCAAGTTTCCCCACTAAAATCTTAAGTGTTGTTGATCATATAGATTAGAATTAAAGCTGCAGCTCTTACAGTTTGAAAATTACACTTTGTGATTTTAGTACAAAATTAATTAATCTTTCACCTCTATCATGAAGTGATATAGTTTCAGGATCAATACTGTCGGCTGAGTCCACCTGAATATCTGAGTGGGCTCCTGTGTTCTGCAGGTTCAATGAAAACTCTACAGCACCCTGAAGGCAGTGAGGTGTCCATCAGTAGAAGTTGAGATGGAGATGGAGTTATTGTGCTGACGTTGATGCCAGTAGAGGTTTGAACTCTGCAGTTATTGATCAGCGGAGTGTTGGTGACTTTTATGCGTTACGCACCTCAGCACTCAGCAACCCGCACTATAACTGCATGGCTAGGTGCTTGATTTGATACACCTGTACAATGGAACTGAATGAAACACCGAATTCAGTGATTAAGAGACGTGTGCTAATACTTTTGTCCATATAATGTACATATTTTGGTTGCAGAGTTGACAGTTTAGACTGCCTCATCCTCTTTAAAGCTCAGTAGGCTTCTAAATACAGTAAACACATTAGAAAAGAGTAACCCTCACAGTGCCCAGTGCAGCCCATATTTTACATTTATTACAGCTGCTGACATGTTAGTCTCTCACAGGTTTGGCACAGCACAGCACCATCTGCTAAAAGAGCAGATAAAGTTGTAAAGAAGGTCAGTGTACGGCAAGAAGAAGCCTGGTTCTATTAAATTCCACTAGTGGCGTAACTAAATCTCATGGGCCCTATGATGCCCCCCACCCACACCAAAAATAAATACTTCCATTTAATAATAAAGGCAATGTAATTTACATGTTTATTTTGTATTGTTATGTCTCAACAAAAGTTGATGCCCTAAAGGTGCCAATCCACACACCAGCATGTATTGTATTTGCTTTTCTAACATTGGGATAAACACAAATAAACACAAAAACAGTAGAAATAATGTGTTATTTGGCAATGAAAAAATTTTGTTATGAAGGTTAGATAAATTCAGATAAAGCACGTGCTTTAATTTAAAGAAGAACTGATTCGATACACCAGGTTTTATATTGTGATGGTAAATACTAGACTTCATCCAGGAGAGATTTGCCAAAAAGGCTTTGCTAACACTCATCGAATCACAATGGATCTTCTGTTTCTTTGTATTTTTTTGCTAATGCTAGTGTTTCTGGAACAAAAACACTTCATTTAAGCACTATGTAAAAATGCCACTTTCTTTATCGGAACTGTACAAGTACATCAAATATTCCTCCTTTCACTCTGAGCAGCTCAGTGTTTATATCTCACATTTTCTCAACAAAACTCAGTGGTTTAAGAAAGAAAGAAGAGAATAGAGGAAATGTTCTCAATAATAGATGCCACTGATGTTGCGGGTGAGCAGCGGGTGATTTCAGGAGGTTGCAGGTGAGCAGTATGAGGTTTCAGGAGGTTTCGTGTGAGCAGCGGGTGATTTCAGGAGGTTGCAGGTGAGCAGCAGGTGGTTTCGGGAGGTTGCGTGTGAGCAGCAGGAGGTTTTAGGAGGTTGCGTGTGAGCAGCGGGAGGTTTTAGGAGGTTGCGTGTTAGAAGTAGGAGGGGACAGATCCAGTATGTACCTTAACAAGCTGCAAGGAAACCGCTCACAGTCCCGTATTATTAACCACAGACTGTCATTTAAGCTACGTTCACATTACAAGCCTCATTGCTTAAATCCGATTTTTTGCTCAAATCCGATCTCTCTGACACGATGGTTCACACTCATTTAGGCAAGTCATTCAAATCTGTCATTAATGTGACGAACCGGCGTCCTGAAATGACCCTCATGAGCTCATCCTACTCAGTAACGTCACGTGAATGAATCACGTTCATCATCAGCACAAACTAACGAGCAGAACGAGCTTCGCTGAGAAGATAATTAACTCTGATCAGCTCTCAGCTTCATTATTAGAGCGAGACGAAGGAGAAAAAGGTGAGATGAGCTGCTTTTCCACCGTTTACAGGCTTTAACTTCTGTTCGGCGCTGTTGCCATGGTAACGCCGAATGATGGCGCAGCGCAGTGGAAGAAAAACACATGAATTCTGATCTGAACGTTCACATTAAGGTCACATGACCACAAATCAGATACGTATCCGATCTAGGACCACATATGAAAGTGGCTCAGGTCGGATTTGAAAAGATCAGATTTGCGTGTCCACACAGCTCTGAAAACATCAGATCTGAGTCACATTAGGGCAAAAAATCAGATTTGTGCCACTTCAACCTGGTAATGTGAACATAGTCTTTGAAGTGTTAAATCCTGATGTCGGTGCTCCGCTCCAGTCCAGTAAGGGGCGCTAATGCACCACATAACAGGCTTACAGACCGCCAAAATCCCAGAAGAAGAACGAAAGTGATGTGCTTCGTTAGCGCCATCACAGCTCGCTCTCCTCGATGTGAAGACGAATGGACGCTGCTGAGCCCGGTGCTCAGCATGGACACCATCCCGGTCATCGACTTCGACGCCTACAGACTCGGGGTCACCGACGACGACGTTCCCAGAGAGCAGCTGCAGGAGCTCCGTGATGAAGTGCGGAGGGCCTTCACTGAAGTGGGCTTTGTTTACCTGAAGAACACCGGAATAGAGCAGGAGGAGGTGTGAGAGATAACGAGACAAGTTTCACAAACTAATCATCAAATTACACAACAAACTAACAACAGTGGAATTAGGGGCTTCTGATCTGGGCGGAGAAGCTCAGACACGCTGTTCTGGCATATCAGTAATGTAGTGATCTAGAAGAAGAAGAAGAAGAAATCAGTGATCTAGAAGAAGAAGAACCCCTGTAATAGATAAACAGCTAAGGTTAATAAACAGCTCATAACGGTTGAGTTAGGCTTAACAGTTACACTGATTTTGAGAGTTCGTGCAGCAGAACTGAAAGGTCATGATTCAGTGGCAAGTTTCAGTTTAATTGAATCTCTAATCAAACTTAATGAGACTCCACAAGTTCATGCAAAAGCCTCTGATGAGTAGATAAAATCCACCTGGTAGTTGTCTAAGCACAAGCTTCAATGGAATGAATAGGTTAAACCAGCAAAGACTATGATGGTCACCAAGCTTCACCTGATTTTTTTTGCTGGTCAGATTTCATTGGAATGAAATCAAGATAATTATGCCAGAATCAGACTCCCGTTAGCTAACGCACGCATGACACCACTGATTACGCTGAGGATTTCTAACATTTCTATGTGCAAATAACAGCTACATCTGTCATGTTCATCTGTCACAGTGCAACAGGACATGGAGTCTCACAGTGATTCAGGGATTTCATGCTGGTCTAAGCTGATTTATTTCAGCAGGGGAGAGAAATGAGTCACGTTGCCCAGTCATGAGGAGAGAAGTAACACCGTAGGGTCACACGGTCAGAGGAGGACTTTGTCATAGGATTGAGTTTTTGCTCCAGACATGAGAATTAAAACTAAGAGCTGCAGTTTAAAGTGTTCTTGTTATACTGATCATTATGACTGAAAGGTGTTCAGTCGCCCGAGTGCTGCTCCAACAACCAAAGTCTTTAGTTCATTACACTAAACTATCAGTGTGAGACTGTGTCCTGTTCTGCTGTTTACTGTGAAGGTAAATGACAGATTAGCTGTTATTTACACACAAACATTAAAAATCCTGAGTGCAATCTGTGGCATCCATCTGCCTGGGGATTGGAGTTTGTGCTACTTATTTTGAACTTGAGCATGTAAGCAGCTAATCTGGCGAGCACCCTGAGAGTTCAGTGTGGGAGTCACTTCCACATATCATTATGTCACATTAAAAAAAAAACAAAAAAAACAAGGCCAACCAGATGCCCTGAATTCCTAGGGGACCCTGGGCTTTAGCCCAGGTATGTTTGTGCATTAAATCAAGTTTGATAGCCACTGTGTTATGCGTATGACTTAACGCTGCACATCAATTTTGTTTATTGGCATAATCCATCTCACTAATATACATAGGGAGAAGGCCGGGTAAAGAAGTTGGGACAAACTATCCATTTTAGATAATCCCAAAGACTCTGACCTCTCTCTGCACCCACCTATTCAGAATTAATTTACACTTTTCTATATTATTCCAAATATTCATGTTGCCAGTTGTTTTATCCTTAGAGATAACAATCCCCAAATATTGAATCTCCTTCTTAATCTCTGTCTTACAGAGTTTGCAGGGAATAGGCATGTAGAATTAATAATTCATATGTATCTACATTCACTTGTAGATCTGAAGCTTTTGAAAACTGGTTATGAACTTGAAATGTGATGAATTTGATTTTCATTTTTTCAATTAAGGTAGTGTCATATGCCGACTGACTTATTATTATTTAAAAGGGTGTTTAACAGAATGCAATGCTTTATATAAGCTTAAAAACAAAATACACCCACTTCCTTGTGTCATATTCAAGTATAACAAGTAAATCCAAGACTTATACCCTTCTTCAGTCTTGTAATGATATCCCCCAAAAGGATTTATTATCAGTATTATCAGATAAAATACTTTTATCTTTACCAGATTTAGGAATCAGTGATTTAACGTTGTTTCATGATTGGCGTCAATGCTTTCTTCTCTATGCGCTCCTTTAAAGCTTTGAGTAATAAACCTCTTACATCCTTCCAGAGATTTACATCTGTCCCTGGACATTGTTGGAATCCATCTTCAGAATAGCCAAATGCATTTGGATGTGCTATTGCGCTCCCTTGAGGCCATTAGGGCTCATATAGTGTGCCTGAGATGATGGAGGGACGACTGCCTGTCGACCAAGTTTAATGTCTCTACAATTTACAGTTTGGTCTGAGCGAATCTAGAAAAACTCTTTAGAAAAAGAAAATAGTTTTTCTTCTTATTATTATTATTAATATTATTATTATGCACTGCATATTTATGTGCTAATAGAAACTAAAACTTTACATGATTTTTGCAGGTGGATAATGTCATGGCCATTTCTAAGAAGTTCTTCCTGCTTCCTGTGGAGGAGAAAAGACCCTTCAGTCGTGGCAGCTATTCAAACAGTGTGAATCATGGCTGGGTCTCCTTAGAGAGAGAAAGGTAGCTTAACCTACAACTTTGTGTCTGATGTGGGAAAGTGGAGGTATTGGTTATTGTTGATGTATTTAAATTAATCTAATCTGTATCAATCTGATTTTAACAGTTTGAATCCTCGCCGTCCAGGAGACTTGAAGGAAGCCTTTAACACGACTTCTCTGCGCACAGACATTGTAATTCCGTCTTCTTTTGCAACACAACACTCATCAGATATTGATGAAGATTTTTTTAATGGTGTTTTTTTTTCCCCAGGGTAAGTCTGTTTGTTAACCCAGAAGATCTGTCACTTTTTTGTCAGTTCATTTAGGAGTGGCCTTCAGATGGTGTTGATGACTTTTGCGCCACCCAAGTGTCCTTCTATGAACGCTGTATGAAGCTCTCGCTCCGAGTGCTCAGAGTGATGGCACTCTGTCTTGGCATAGACCCTGATGTGTTTCTCAAAGCACACAGGCAGATTGGAAGTAAGCTAAATGATGTTCAATGCTTTGATACACACAAACTCTGCACTTTGCTGTTCTTTTTCAATGTATATTATATTGTTATGCAGCTTTTGGACAATTATTATAAGGTAGCATTACAGAAAATCAGTTCTAGACACCTAATCTTGGAGTGGAGGACAACAGTCTCAATGGCAAGGAAAAAACTCTGAGATGGCACAAAGAATAAACTTTGAGTAAGACCAAGAATCAAAAAGGGAATCTTTTCCTGTTTTTTTGGGCAGCAGTGGAAAATGAAGTTATAGTCAGAGATTACAGAAATTGAATGGGATTATACAGTGGTGGGCTACTCAAACTGCACATGGAGTATCTGAGTGGCAATTAATACGTGTGTACATAATTGAGAATATAAGGCAGATACAGAAGACTAAGAAAGAGGTTTGGAGTTCATGCAGTAGAATGTACATGAGGCTAGTTAGAGACCATAAGGATTAGGAGTTCATGAGTGTTGGATTACAACTCTGGAGTGTCCAGTAGCATCAAGGGAGGTTATTGGATGCTCAGATAAGATGTCACATTCAGATTGTTTGGTCAGTTTTGTAGTATGCTTTTTTTTGTAGTACACCAGAACAAAAGTGGCGAGCAGATATTTGACCCACCACTTTTCAAAGTACTGCAGAGACGACCCACCACTTTCTGATTGAGTTCATGACACTTACATTATAAATAAATGAAACTACACAGAGCACTGATCATTAGACACGAACAGAGAGAGTCAAACTCTTTGGCAGAACCAATCAGAACCTCTGTTTCAGCTCAGGGGCGGGACATTTCCCAAACAGTTAACGCCTTTGTGAGTTGGTGTTCAGTGAGAGGAGCTGCAGCTTTTTGATCTGGTAATGATGCTGTTACTGCGATTAAATGTACTAATGAACTGGCTCACGGTTTGAATCTACTGAATGTTTGAATATTTCTCATTGCTCCCTTGCTGTGCTAAGGTCGCTGTCACATCTACCTCGTTTGGAGCTTTTTCTTTAATTCTGTTTTGCTGTGTGGACGCTGCACCTTATTCAGGTCCACGTGTTATGACCGTGAACCGGTGACCCCTGATTGAGTTTGCTGCTGCTGGCAACGCATTTTTACGATGGTCCACACCAAACGAGAGAATGCAACACCAGAGTGTGCTTTTCTCAGAGCACATCAGCCTGCCAGTTTAACATTTTATTCTTTAAAAACTGTCTTATATTTCTTGCAGCACATGCTGCTGTTAATAACACCAGATAAGCAGTAAAGTAATAGCAAAGATAAGCTTTTAATTTTGGCACATGAATGGCAGAACATATTTTTGGTCAAGATGAGAAACCTTACATTCAAGCTGGTAAAACAATCACAAAGAAACAGAAATCATGGTGGTAAATGTGACAGTAACAGAGTGACTGCATCCCTGCAAAATATCTGAATAATCACTGAATAACCCCATGTGAAATTAGGTCCACTTTAGCTGTTGCGGCGTGAAACCAACTTGAATCATTTTTTTTCCCCTGTTCTTTTTGTTCAATGTTGTATATTAATTGTAAAATCATATTCACTTTCATATTGCGCTTGTTATGTTATTGTTTTGCTCTCTGATGTGGACTAGATGAGGATAGGTTCCCCCTTTGAGTTTTGGTTCCTCTCAAGGTTTGTTCCTCTTGCTCTTGGGGAGTTTTTCTTGCGACTGTTGTCCTTGACGACACTCATGGGGTCTCAGACCCAGATTTTCTGTAAAGCTACTTTGTGACAACACCTGTGGTAAACAGCACTATATAAATAAATGTTGACTTAAACCAAATGAAAAAAGATAAACTTCCGATTTTGTCATAGGTTTTTTTTGTTTGTGGATGCTTTTGTTTTTTGAAACCACAAGTTTTGCTCCACCACTTTTGGAGATGTGATGCCAGTCCAGGCCCTAAAATTAGTTTCTTTTGCTGTTAAGGTGAAGAGAATGGCAGTACCCTGCGTTCTCTGTATTACCCTCCAGTAAAGACTGTGAAGGAAGATCAGATCCGCTGTGGGGAGCATTCTGATTATGGCAGCATCACTCTTCTCTTCCAAAGCCGCGAGGGCGGCCTGCAGGTGAGAAAGCAGAGTGACGGGACTGATAATGCAGGACAAATTAATTACATCTCCTACAGCCTCATTTTAATGGAGTTTAGGACAGTAAAATGGTAAAATCTTGGACTATCACTATATTGTAGTGTATCATGTTGTATTACTGTACTGTTACTAGCCTGTTAGCTTGTGGATAGTGTGTTAACTAGGTGTTGGATGTTGTTTTGTTAGATATTTTGCATTTCAAACATTGACTTTTGTGATGAGGTCACAGGTGAGGTTTCCTTCTGATGAGTCTTCTATGAAGATCATGTTTGTGCAAGTAACATTGCACCATCACTCCTTTTCAGTTAAACCATCCTGCAGGTTTTTGCTGTCATATGGGGGTTTTGCCTTGCATTTTGAGCAGTTCTGAGAGTTCTCTGGGTCTTCCAGATCTTTCCTTGACTTCCACAGTTCTCCGTAACTGTCGTTTCATAATGCCATTTCAGACAGTGGAAATTGCAAGCTGGAAATGCTTTGATATCTTTTTAAAGCCCTGCATTGTAGGCATCATTTTCAGATGCTCAGCCAGCTGCTTAGAAGACCCCATGGTTGTTGAGTGTTGCCACAAGTTATGAAGGGTCAGAGAGTTCATTAAGCTCTAGAGTCATCGTCGAATAAAATAACTGGGCATTACCATTTGCAGAAAAATGTATTGTTGTAATGTTTTGCTGCAGAGGTTGGGTTTACGTCTTTCACATCAAAAATCAACAAAACATAAAATGTATAAAACCTAACCTTTTTTTTTTTTAGGTCATGAACCGTAAAGGGGAGTATATCTCCGCTCAAAGCATTTCTGGAACTGTTCTGGTCAACATTGCAGACTTGATGCAGAGATGGACCAGCGATGTGTTTGTGTCTGCTGTAAATATCCTTATTAATTCAAAACCTAATACAAAAACAAATAAAGCAAAACTGAATAAATTATGTGTACACACAGTAAAGCAATACTTATCCTTACATTTCAGTTGACCACCTTTTTTTTGTTGTTTTTTTTTTTTTCACTCCTTCAGGTCCATAGAGTCTTGCTGCCCCCTGGTGGTGATTCAAGAACGCGGCAGAGTTTGGCCTTCTTTGTGCAGCCGGATGACAACGTCATGATAAGTTGTGTTGATGGATCAAACAAATATCCTCCAGTGAAGTGTGTGGATTATCTTCAGTCAAGATTCAACGACACTTATGGCAGAAACTAGTGTCTCCTGAGCCACAGCTGGAACAGCTGGACTTAACATTAACATTTGTGTCACTACAAACATTTAAATATTTTGATCAGTGTCATCAAACACTCTTTTAATTAGTCATTAGCATTAGGTTTTAGTACAGCCTAGGGACAAATTTTAGAGATAATATTAACATAGCAAATGAGAGGTTACGTATTTGATTAAGTTTGATTTACATTGCATAATGTGTACTGAAGTGAAAGGATGATGTAGGTTATCTTCCACAATCAAGCTCAAATCTTTTTAATATAGAATATTTTCTATATGATTATATTTGTAACACATAGGAGTAATACCAGCCACCTTAAATAAGCTGCCTATGCTGTGACACAAAGAAATAACATTTTGCAAAGAGAATTATATTTATAAATTAGAAAAATCAGAGTTAAGAACGCTGGGAAGCTTCTTGAAGACTCTTCAGTCTTTAGGATTTATGCAAATTAACTGATCTTAACTAGATTTACCTCAGTAGCTCAGAATTCTACAAAAATAATATGTGGTGCTAGATGTGTTTAGTAATTATGTTTACAACGTATGGTACAGGACTTGGTACTGGGTTTTGCCATCTTAATATAAGTGGGTGAAAGATGAACTTTGAAGGCCTTTAGCCTGACTGAGGGCGACTCTTCTTGCTGATGTCCTTAAGAAGGACACTGTCCAGTTAGTTTCTGTGCCTATCTACCAGCTATTTTAACAAACTTCCTGGAACCACTCAGGGTCATTGAAGCTGGCGCTGCCCAAATGGCCTATGCTGATTAATATTATCCAGTGCTCTTTGTTTAGTCATTAGTACTACGTTTTGATGCACTTTAAGGATCAGTCATAGAGATGAAAATATCACTGGTTTTAATATTGCAAATAAGAAGTTATGTATTCGATTAACATTGATCTTCATACAATTTACATAACAGCTTTGACCAAGTCTTTGGGGATCTCTCTCGCTTTCTTTCTCTCTACCTCTACTTTTAGAGTTTTAGGCCGCTGATTTTCCTCAAGCTTTTGTCTTAGTGAAGCCTGTTTAAGATTTGTGTGCGATGACGTGTTTTTGTTAATGTGATAACCCGTTACGATTTTTGTATCCATTTTTATAATCATGTTTTCTCGTTCATGTTCCTCTAATCCTGAAAATAGTTTTCTAATTAAATTTTATAATCTGTTTTACTTTTGAATTTCACTGTGTGGTTTTCTCTTTGTTTTTGAGGTATACTGTATCACAGAAATTATGAATGTACGATGTCATACATTTCTAAATTTTAAAAGTTATGCTGTGATAAATTACCCAACAGCTTTTGGTGTTTGCATCTGTTTTCAAAGCCTGGATCGAAAGTCTTTTTAAAAGGACAAGGAGGGTCCACCACAACCTGTGTTTTCATGACCAACTGGCCCTCTATCTAAAGTAGGATTAATCTAATTTTAGCTGTAAATATGAAGTGAAGGTATTTCGGTATTTTGTTGCGATATTTGCCTGACTGTGATCTCTATCCTTTCCAGTGTTTATGGTGGTGCACCATCACAGCTGATTAGGACAGGATTAGCCAATACAGTCAAGTGGTGTACACTTTTAGCAACTTTAGGGTTCTTTGACTTGTAACAATAGTGGAACCCTTTTCAATAAGGACGGACATTGTTGGTCTCTCAGCTTTCCTTACTTATTTTCTTCTAGTTGAGGACAGTGGACCAATAGATGCACAAAATGTACACATTTGAAGAATAACAGTGCTGAACAAAGTGGTAGATGTATGGAATGATTTTTGTACTGTACATTACAGCATATATACATACCAGACATCTGAATTGCATTAAGATGATGGTACTCGTCGTTTGTAAGTTCTTTTCAGCTATTTTCAGCTTCATACCTTATAGATTTAGAGGTGTGCAGCTGAAAATAAGTTACTAAAATGAATACACGAACAGTAAGACTTGCTGACTTGTAAATTTCTGAACTCCTAAAATGTTTATTCAACTTTGTCCTAATTCTCAAATTATTCTAACACACAAAGGACAATCTTTAGCCTCTTTCTACCAGTACCCCGCCCTCCTTGGCTCTCGCACCTCTGCACCCTGCTTGCCTCACCATTAACGAGCAGGTGAGAAAGCTTTGCGGCCAGACGGAGTCTAAAGCACTGTTGCGATCAACTAGCGTTAATTTTCACCACCATCTTTGTCAAATCACTGGAACTTTGCTCTGTTCCCATTTGCTTCAAAACATCTTCAAAACCATCATTCTGTCCCCAAGAAAATGAACATTACTGGCCTAAATGATTACAGGCTAGTAGCCCTGACCTCTGTAGTCATGAAGGTCTTTGAACGCCTGGTCTTGGCTCACCTGAGGACCTTTACAAGCGCTCTGCTGGATCCCCTGCGGGTTACATACAGAGTTAACAGGTCTGTGGATGACGTGGTCACTTCACACTACAACATCTTGACAGCCCTGGAACCTACGCCGCTCCTAGGTGCGGCTAGGAAAGCACGCCAGACCCTCAGTACTGGTGTACCACAAGGTTCCGTGCTCTCAGTCCTTCTCTTCAGTCTCTACCCCAGTGACTGTCTCTCTAAGGAACCAGCTATAAAGATCCTTTAGTTTGCAGATGACACCACTGTGGTGGGCCTCATAGCCAACAGTGAGTGTCTGGTCTCCCTTCCTCAACATCAACAGCTCTGTGGTTTCCACTGTGTTGATTTTGTAGAGTTAAATGAAAATGTTACAGAGCTGTAAGCAGAGTTACATTTACAAATATGAGTGACTTCAGTGTTGGTGACAGCTGAACTGACCAAATACTCACAAATCACATGAAAAAACCTCAATAGAATGAAGAACAACACAGCATAGTTTATTATCACTTTATCACATCATAATTAATTATTATAAAATCATATTAAATCCATTTTATTACCTTGGCTATTGTTTTTAAAACACACACACACACACACATATATATATATATATATATATATAAACTAATAATGTTCTACATATAAACAGTACACAGGAATCAGAATGAATTTTCAGAACATGCTAAATTGAGTAGTTGTACAAAACAGATTTTTACACAGTAAATCACATTAATAACCTCAACTCTGAGTATTGGGGAAAACACACACAATACTCATAAAAGCTCTGCAGATGAAAATCAGACAGAGCTAGAACATTTGTGTAGAGTTATAGATCAGCTCTGAGCCCCAAAGCCTAACAGGGTCCAAGTATAAACATATAAAAGTAATACTGACATTATATCAGCTGCTGTATCTCTCTCTGTGTATATCCCAGTGTTAAATATCACCATGTGACTGTGGGCGTCACACAATTGATTACTGCACAACATATAAACAATCTGATTGGTCTCTGCTCACATAGATATACAAACATAGATGCCACGTTGGGTCAAACCAGACACATCAACGGTGCCGCCATTTTGGGGAGGTCAACATGCATTCAGTACCATTACAGAGCGGCAGTTTAAGAAAGATACTGTCCAAAATTACACTATTTCAAGAATATTGCTCTCAGAAAGTGACAGACCAGTCCGTATGATCTAGATAAATGCCTGAGGATTATAATAAAACAAATTTGGTGAAAATTGGTTGAGTAATAAGGAAGTTATGGTCGATTTAATCCTGAGACTCATCATACCTCTTGACCGCTCCAACATGGCGGAAACACAGATGTTTTGCCCGAGATAGAGAACAACAGAAAACACGGCATCTAGACGTGTATATCTGTATATATGTATGTCTGCTCGGTTCACCTGCTCAAAAGAGCAGAGCGAAGCTCTTCATCAGTGTCAATTATATGTATATATGATCATCTCTCACCTCACTACAGCACTGACACCTTCTGAGTCTTAATAGCAAAAAAAAGCAAATCAAAAAGGCAAAATTAATTTGCGTCATTGTTCACGTCACATATCAGCACCTTCAACTGTCCTGAATCCCTGGCTGAGCTTTAATACTGGTATTTAGTTAAAACTCAATATAGTGAGTGCATGCAGGTCTAACACCAGCTCCATTTTCTCTAAGCAAATAAGCAGAAGAATCCCAGATGATCCCGGCATGCTGACTTGAGTAGATTGATGTCAGGGAAGCACTTCTAAGAGTGACCTCATTCCCTAGTTTCACCACAATTTGTTCATCTCTTCTGCCACAATAGAGCGACAGTGAAGCCCAGCAACACTCCAAGAAAGACACCCACACCGAGCCCAATGCCAAATTCCTCTTTCACCCAAATCTTCCATATCCAGCTCTCCTTCTCACCTACAGAAATTAAAACATTAAAAAAATTGTTTTTTGAAGCTATTTTGTATTTTAGTAACAACGTACACTGTATGTGAAGATATTGCTGAACTTTACAATAATATTCCAATGAATTTTCTTTTTCCAAAGCATAACATGTAATTGTAGTGTGATGAAGTTTATTTATGTAGCTAAATGCTAAATGGTAGCTTTTAGCAGGTACATTTTCAGCAAACCTCACATTTAAAAGAATGGCTAATGCTAACTAGCCGATAATACACACCAACTCTCCCACACATCACATACAGCAATGCTTTTGCTGGGAAATGCATGGGAACTAAGAAATGGCTGTTGTGGCTTTTTTGTGCCACACTACAATGAAATTCTACACCACTAGATCCAAATTACTGGGGCACTTTAAATTCTTGTCATGCCCCACTATAATCATGAGGAAAAGTCAGTAAGCTATACAGTTAAGTGAACTCTGTTAAGCTAAACTACACGACACGAACATAACCAGGTGAATTTACTACTGACGCTACATTTCCCATAATGCATCTATTCGGCAGCCATGAGGTACGTGAACATTTGCAAGTATTTAACAGCATAAATACAGACATGTCTGTACATCTACGTTTAACAGCAAGACAGTCGCACAGCAGCCAAAGTAATGGTAATGCTAATATTAGGAGCTAACCTCTTGTAGCCTACCAAAAACACATATTAACACATGCTAAATCAGATAGAATAGTTAAGTTAGCAACTTGTAGTCTAATTGAGATCAATACACCAAAAAGACTTTGTATCATTTTCATATGAAATGGACATTATATTAATTCGCAAGCATGTGCTGTCTAACTAGCATAAAGACAAGAAGGAAAAAGCTACTTAAGGAGGATGAGGACATATCTGAGCAGGTGGGCAATGGGAAATCTTGACTTTCACTTACTTAGCTAGTATTAGTCTGTAGCATATTGACTGTCATGATAATGCCACATTTAGGAAAAAACCTTTGCCAGTTTTTATCACTAGTTAGCCACCTTAGTTAGCTCACTGCAGTATACAAATAATAAGAGATGATGAAAAATGAAGAAGATGAAAAAGCACAGATTTAAAAAAATATTTTGAAAGAAGGCAATGCTGTGTGTGTGTAGAGTTTGGGGTGGGCTGGTGTGCATCATGAAACTCCTGGTTCGAAAACCACTCTGACCTTGCTTGACTTTACACAGAGAAGTTTCTCATCTGAATTTAATTCAGGAGACTTCAGCTACTTAAAAATAAAGCTCAAGTTTAGTTTTGGCCATAAAAATACATTACGCTTTAATGCAGGTAGTTTGTAACTGCAACGACTAATACAGAAGACTTTTTAAAAAAGTCTTGTCCTTGTAAATATCGGTTTAATGCCATTGTGAATATTAATAGCAGTAGCAGTATTGTGGGTAGAGCTCTGGGTGATTTGAATATAGGGCTGTGGGTCTGCTAAGTTGCCACTGTTGGGCCTTTGAGCAAGGCACTTAAACCCCCTGCTCCAGTGGTGCTGTATCATTGCGGACCCTGCATTCTGAAAGCTTTCTTAGCTGGGATATGTGAAGAAAGATTTTTTGTTGTACTATGCAAGTACAGTGACAATGATGGTACTTAACCACATAAAAACTAGCAATTGGTTGTTGTTCATGAAATGATTTGCATATATATGTGTGCCACATAGTAATCAGACTTAAGTCTGATTATATGGAGACACATTTGATTTACAAAGTGTAAATAAATGAGTTTCATATCGTATCAGGTTACAATCCAGATAAAATCACGTGAATCAATGAGGTGTAAATGGGTTATTAGAGTAGGCCCCTCAGGACAACCAACGGTATAAAACACTCTTGACCTGTACATAATGATGACACCAGTAATCAGTTAAAGTCTTACCTCTGACTGTGATTTT